TAGGTCTTTACATATACTTTCAGCATGTCCACATTACAAGCACCAATAACAATGTGATCGATTGCGGTCAAAACCTTTTTGCCCATTGCTGTACTTAAGTTCCTATGCTAATATAGTATCAATGGAGCCACCAACCCATGTTTACTTGCATTCTATTAGGCAACTAGTCTGACCTTCTACATAGAGGAAAAGTTATGTTTATCCTTACATAACACATTATAGGATTTTCGAATTTCGATTATACCAAAATCGCACCCCAAAGTATTCGTGGAAAATCTCAGGAACACCTAAAGAAACCGGCACAGCAGCCCCAGCACACTCTAAAGTCTAAATTAAGAACAACATTACCAATCCGTTATTAGCAGGTTCCTAAGTAGATAGTCCTGAGCGCCCTTCACTGAACACAGATCAAGTGAACAGATTCAGACTGCAAGGATTTCACTATAGGATTACAGTTTTTATGCCACTGGAGTCATGCAAACTGCGTTTGAATTGTGATAACAATGCAACATGTTTGACTTAGTAAAATTATCATTCCAAGGGACTGTCATGGTATCGTTTCCATTTGGAATAGAAGCAGATGCAATTAAGGCATCCTCCAACTCCCATGTTTGCATCCTAGTATCTGGCTGGAGTGAACACGAACTAGATTTAGTGAAAAATGCACAAACATATGCAATCTAAAATGTCAGATAGTGGAGGATATTAGAGAACTAATTATTCAGAGACCAGATAGGTTTCATTATTTATATCAGTATATATGCAATCAAAAGCACAGCTGCACAGATCAAACTGTAACATCGATAACTACTTAAGCTAGAAACTTTTTAGGTTACCAACTGTTTGTGAGAGAAGAGAACTGTAAGAAAGAGATTTACCGAAAACTCATTCCAGACCAGCTGTCGATTCATGTACTCAAGGTCAAAGCTAACCCTCTGTTCATGTTGGGGCTCCCATAAACATGTCTTGCTTTCAGAATCCTTTCTACAATAGTTTTGTACCTTTATAAACACATAAGAAAGGCTTATAAGTATGTGTGTCATACAAAATTAATCATAATTAAAAAGTGAAGAGGATGATAATCTATTAAAAAAAGAGTGTCTTTCAATTTCCCCACAGATTATGCTGATCCAGCTCATTCAGATACAGTCATTGGTCAATTTCCTATCAGTGGACAGTACATTAAGTACATGTTGACAATGTTCAATCTATAAATAGATAGTAGTTAACTTTGCCAAACTAGGCACCACCTGCTATGGCCATGATATCATGAATAATTTCTACAATCCTCACGACACAAGAAGAAAGGGCCATAATTAAACAGGCTTAGGAAGGTACCTTCCACCATAAAGAAACAAAAATAGGTTAAAGAATGAAGCAGCCCTGTACAATACTTCAGCATTCTGCACTAAGCCCCAAGCATGGCGTGCTAGTGGTCTCTACATCATGAAATAGAAATTAAGTTATACTAATACAAGTGGAGGAATTGTAAGTTTTCAAGAAGATGTCTGGCACCTGTTCAGAATCGCCCCATCGACGGAAAGCAGAAAAAGACTGTAATCGTGACCATATATACTGGCCACCAACAAAGCTAATACAATAAAAGATCTTTTGAGAAACAGAAAGCCCAGATCCTTCCAAACCTGTTCTAACTGAAAAGCAAATGGAATTCATTAGATGTTGCTCAGATAATACTAATTTACGTATCGGTAGCAAACAACACAAACCAGTATGGAATAAACTCCTAGGAAGGTTACAAATGAGCTAATTTGGCTAAGATAACCTTGGTGTGGTTCAGTTCATTTGCTGAGTTGACTTCAACTTCTGTTTTTACAAAGAAAAGGAGATTGTATATAGCATGTAATGTGAAAAGGCAAGCTCCAACCAAGCTGTAATTTGATATGTTCATGTAAATATGATAAATGAGCTGCTGAATGGTTAAAATTATGCAGAAGCAGAGCAGAAGGGTGAACCTTGTGGGGATGAGACACTAGAACAGGAGAAGAAGGGCATAGATGAAGACACTTTAGACAAGGTGAATGCAGATGGTTAGTCGATCTCATTCTTTGAACATAAAGGATACAATCGTGACAGTCCTATCCTTTTTGTAGATGGTGGAAGACTTGAATACTAGTGAATGTATCTGGAAACAAATAATACTAAAGATATGCAACTTTTTTTATAATACTAGAGATATGGAATTAATCATGTCATAACAAACTAACAGATTATGAGATAAACAAGTAACATTCTAATTATGCAACAATAAGAAAAATAATGCACATCATATGCCTCCTGGCACTGGCAGTGGCTGGCATTAGGCCCATGTCACTTGTTTAATTGCATAAGCAATTTCTGATTGTTGCACTGTGCTGCAATGCGAGTATTTTAAGTTAGCTGTGGAAAGCAGTTATTGTACAATCCAGCACAAGTCTCAGATTTCTTGGGAGCACGCTTTTAATACTTTGAATCTTTGGTGATTTGAAAACTTCACTTGAATAAATTGTAAAAAAAGTCGCTAAATCATTTTTCACTAAAAATAACAGGACAGATAATTAGAATAATTGTAGATGCAGCCTCTGCCGGCAAAGTCAGACCCCACAAGGCCACAAGAGCTAGGATCAGCCAACTTTAACGTACTGCCGGCAAAGTCTTCCAGGGGTTGCCACCAATATATCAATTTTAGTCTGTGGTTCCATTTGGACATATTCTTCGTCAATAGTTGGGTAAAACTCTTGTTTGGGCTTGTGTTTGTGGATGTATATATGTATATTTGTGGCGGTCAAATTCGAATTTGAATTATATATATATGGTCAGATTTGAATTTGAATTATTTTTTTTATTGAAAAATCACTGTAGGGGCGGTTCTTGATTGAACCGCCCTTACAAATACACACAGCAGGGGCGGCTGGTGATACAGCCGCCCTTACAGAAGTCCACTACAGGGGCGGCTGATATTACCAGCCACCCCTACAGAGGACACTGTAGGGGCGGCTGAAAACACCAGCCGCCCCTACAGAGGGCACTCGCAGGGCGGTCGAGAACCGCCCTGCAGAGGCACCTCTGTAAACACCCTGGAAGACGGCAGCTAGCGCAGCCCCTTGCCTTCTATAGTAGTGCATAATCATATATATATATATATATATATATATATATATATATATATATATATATATATATATATATATATATATATATATATATATATATATATATGTATGCCACGTAGCTAATCACACAGCATACATTAACAAGCTATAGCTACGTAGCCTACTATAGGTAGCACAAATAATGAAGATCAAGACACATGGCCGATTGTGCGAGTAAGCGGTAATCACGCATTTTGGATCGTATATATGTGCGCTGATGCGCCAGGGGCTATCGCTGTGCGTCTTGCAGGTTGTTGTAAGTTAGCGGCACTACTGGCCAGCACCCAGCAGTGTGCGGTGTCAGTGTCACAAAGTGTGTGTGCGCTCCTTCGATTCCTACACCCGGCCTTGTCGCTTCGCGCACTGCCGTCCCCAAGGCCAGTGAGCCGACCGCGGCGCGCGACAAATAAAGTTACCAGATGGATGACAAACAAATAAGTGGACGGGCGCTCCCAGCCGAGTCCCATCCCCTGCAGTGGGATAGATGGCCGTGGTTGGATCTGGCCGCGCCCTGATGATCCGATCCGAACGTCGTCTGCTCTTGGCCATCGGTTTTGCCGGCGTAGAGTGGCGTCAGCTCCGGTTGGAGGTTCCAGGTTCAACATCAACTTGGCAACTCCGAATAAACTTGCGTTCGATGGCAGCTCATTTGCGCCGTTCTCCCATTAGTTTTATCTGATGCATGAGCCTCGGTCCTCTTTATTCCTGGCGTGCCCCGCCGATCTCCCATTTGCATCTTCTTTTAGTGCCTTCCTCTTCATGATCATCAATTCCCGATCATGGATGATCGCGATGATGTCTCCCATTTTCATTGATTTCATGACGCCTGTACATGGATGGACGCGCGGCGGCAGCGCATCCTGAAACCTCCAACCGAGCGGACGCCACTTTCACGGCGGAAAACCGATTTGCCACGAGCAGATTCTCCGGTCCTATTTAAAATACGCTCGATCGGATCAATGGAATTTGGCCACGATAAGAGGAGACGATGAAAACTGAGTGGGCATCCTCAAGCTCGGCCTTACGCTCATACCTTGATTCTATCCGCGCGCGTCCAAACCATGGCAGATCGAGGCGGGACGGGACTTGGCCGGGAGCGCCCGTCCACTGATTTGTTTGTTCCCATTCATCTGGTAACTTTATTTGTCGCGCGCCGCCGTCCGCTCACTGGCCTTGGGGACGGCCATGCGCGAAGCGACAAGGCCGAGTGTAGGAATCGAAGGAGCGCACACATACTTTGTGACACTGACACCGCATACTGCTGGGTGCTGGCTAGTAGTGCCGCTAACTTACAACAACCTGCAAGACGCACGACGATCGCCCCTGGCGCATCAGCGCACATATATACGATCCAAAATGCGTGATTACCGCATATTCACACAATCGGCCTTGTGTCTTGATCTTCATTATTTGTGCTAGCTATAGTAGGCTACGTAGCTATAGCTTGTTAATGTATGCTGTGTGATTAGCTATGTGGCATATGATTGATGGCTTCCAAATAGCTGCTCCATTTTTTAATAGCTGTCTAGCTCGGCTTGCGCAAGCATGCCGGTATATTCCGTGCCTATGTGCGGAACGAAGTGGCCTGCCAATACGTTGATGCATCTACTATATATCTAGCTAGCTACCAGCAGGAGTGGATTGGTGTCATGGTGCGCGTGTGCGTGTGCCTTTTGACTGGTTTTGAATCCATGCTCGTCAGGATCCATGGTTCTGAGCCTGGAGCCGTGGAGCCGAGATCCACGGCTCCGAGGTACCGCCACGTCAACGTCACCTAGGATATCTTGCTGTGCACGGCCAGATATCTCGGAGCCAAGATCTGTACCGCTGTCGCAGTGGATGCAGGCTGACATGGACATACCTGTCGCCTTAGACTTTGACCCGGAGGTACTGTCCGGATTCCGGGAGGCTCTAGAGGGCATGCCGCCGTCGTCGGAGCCTGCGGTTGTCTCGTCCGCCGAAGACGAGACACCCATTGAGCAGGAGCGGGAGGACATGAAGGACGCGGACGCATGTGACATGCCAACGTCGCCGGCCACCGGCGACATGCCGGAGCTTTCCTGCCTTGTCCGTGCCCGCATCCTCGCGTTCCAAGAGAAGACGATCGAACGGAGACGAAGCAAGGGCCGCGACGCCAAGGTGTCGCCCCTGTGGCCGCCGGGAGGCGAGCGGAAGGCGGTGGTGTACTTCACGAGCCTCCGCGGCGTGCGCAAGACGTTCGTGGACTGCTGCGCCGTGCGCAGCATCCTGCGCGGCTACGGCGTGCGCCTAGACGAGCGCGACGTCTCCATGCACGCCGTCTTCAAGGCCGAGCTCGCGGACCTCCTCGGGCCCGGCTTCGCAGGCGCCGCGCTCCCGCGCGTGTTCGTCGACGGCCAGTACCTCGGCGGCGCCGAGGACGTGTACTTCCTGCACGAGGCGGGCGAGGTACATGGAGACGTGCGCCGCCTGCGGCGACGTCCGGTTCGTGCCGTGCGAGACGTGCTACGGCAGCTGCAAGATCTTCGTCGAGGACGACGACGCGGGCGACAGGTATCACGACGTCGGCGAGTTCCGGCGGTGTCCCGATTGTAATGAGAATGGCCTCGTCAGATGCCCCGTTTGTTGCTGCTGATGCTTGTGCCGCGTACGCTATGGTAGATTAGTTGTTTTTTTTTGTCTGTACTCTGTAGTTTGTACAGTGTGGAGAGCATTATAACATAATTTTGATAGGAACAGGACCCTTATACCGCCTGTTCGGGAGGCCGTATCGTATCGTGGATTATTTACTGCTGGTTGGTTTGGTGTGAGAGAAAAACACTGTTCCCGGCTAGAAATTTACGATCGTTTACGAGCAAGCGAACAGGCTGATAATAATTCCATGCCTAGTGCCTATTCTGTTTTTCATATGTGAAAATAAAGGGATTTCAAGAGAAACTGCTCAGCCTGTTGATGATCCTATAAAACTGTTGAAAAAGGGATGGAACATTTTTGCTCGGGCATCAGAAACATTATATTCGTAATAGAACACTTGTCTAGGGGAGAACAATTGTTTGGTCATTCCAGATTACAGATTTCTCCAGCTGCAGTCAACACAAAGTGGCCTTTTCATCATGAAGGGTAAAATGGTCAGTAGTTGGAAGGATTGTTGATAGATAAACAAAATCTGAATAACATCTGATAACCGAACCATATACAAACGAGAGGCATACCAAGAGGGAAATAAAGTCAAAAAGAAAAGGAGCTAATCCACCGATGCAAGGGAAGGCAGTACTCAACAGGAATGCAAGAATATGAAATGAGCACAAAGTCAGAAACGTGACTGCACGATCACTTGACTCCATTTGCAATAATCAAACTTATCAGAGCAAACAGTTTGTTCTAAACGCACTGTTCGTCTCCTTTTAATTTATACAACGCTGTTGTCTGCTATAAATATACATCGAACAACATCACTTGAAGTATCGTATTAAGGTGTTCGTCCTCCTGTTTAGTAACTGAAGGATGGATTGTATATTTATTTTTCACTTAACTCTGCCTACCATGTGCGGCCAGATCTGCCGCGGCCTTGGCAGCCCTAGTAAGAGCATCAGACAACACCATGGCCCCTGCAGAGAAGTAGCTGCTGGTGACGATGCCATTTACCACCTTAGCTGCCGTTCTTCCAGTGGCAGTAGCAACCGTCTTGGTTGTCTCTGTAACGCGATATGTCTCGTCGACTGATCGCATCGCACCAACACCAGCATTGACCCTGTCAGTTAAACCGATTCTCTTGCTCAGCTCTGCAGCCCTGGCTGCAGCTGCAGCTGTTAATCCATAGGACTCATCAAAGGCTTTAGCCTTAGCCAAAGCATCCTTGCTGAGCACGTACCCCTTTGCTAGCATCGTCTTCATGATATCTTGAGACACTGTAAAAGCTTCCTGCGGAGTAGTGTTGTACTGGCATGTTTGGTAGTTCTGTTCATAAAAAATTAAACATCAGCCCTACATTTGGGATTGGGAGAGTGAATTGCTGTTCAGACATCAACGAGGATTATTTTGAGAATTCAGACTAGTTTATCTTAAAATGTCCATGCTGGAATGAGATAAGCTTCCTTCTTTTTTCCTCAGTTCATATCACTGTGCATCTCTAAAGTGTGAACCACATTTTAACTCATCTGTCATGTAACAGAAAGATGAGCATAACCAGGTGATTTGGTAAGTTACATGGCAAAAAAGTTATATTGCCACTTATGCAAAAGAGCATCTGCGCTTATTAACACCAAGGACGCCACTCCAAGCAGCTTAATTAGCATGATTGATGTGATGCAAATCATGTGTGTGACTAGAGATAATTTGCTTCGACGCCAATCCACTAAATCCAATAAATTGTCATATAATGAGAAAACTGGTTGCTCAAGGCAGAAATGAATTCTATTCACAAAATTGCTTCCTTGTCCTAGTTGACTACTATTAACTATGCAGAAAATTAGTAGAATGGCAAGATGCATACCCTGTATCGATTTCCTCTTCGGTCTCCCAAGTTGGCCTGTCCCAGAAATTAAAAGTCTCCTCGGGTTGTCCCCAATAAGTTATGCATACCGGCTGATCCATAATAGTAGCCCCCTATCGAAGATGCAAAGTGTTGTCAGGGGCACAAAAAAAAAGGTACTTGCTACCCAGGAGACTTGTTGATAAAGTGGTTCGGTAAAGAAGTATACGGGCATACGGCCAGCTTCCAGGTCACTCCAAAGCAAAGCACAAACTGAATTATGTCAAACTGAAAAGATTGGGTTTCACTATCCAAAGATATACACAATCTTGAAGTGTGTAGAAGACTGACACTGCACTTTTTTCCGGGGTACAATATCCATTTAAAGAATTGAGATAGTTCGGATAGAGATGAACGGGACATCACATGTAAAATTGCATGTGTACATAAAGCTTTAGGGCCTCTTCGGTATAGAAGGAGAACCTTAATCTAAAAGAATTTTTCATCTGAATGGTGTACACACTAAAGAGAGGCTCAAGAACTTTCTTGCTTTATAGGAAAATCATTTTATCAGTAAGTCAACTGAGAGAACATGAAGCCATCTTCGGTATCGGGCACATCAAGAGTGGTACATTTAATTTCTGTGGAAAACAATGTTGTCAAAAAAGACAGCTTACACTGAGCAATACTGCAGTTTCCAAGGCAAAGCGTTCCATGAATGTCACATAAGCAGTGGCACCATAATCTTCTGATCTGTAGTGTTTAAATTCACCATGAAATTGATGACAAAGGCATGTCATAAAACAAAATTTTGAATTGTGAGCCAGGGTACTCCAGAGATAAGATCATTCTATGAGGTAAATTTATAATAAGCATGGTATGTCAATAGTTGTTCAACGCACGGATATCAAAATAACAAGCATAGTTTTTTTGTGGACCAAATATTTTTTTTAACAAGAATGTTTGAGTGGGCAGAATATGCCACAGATAACAATTATCCTTTTCTGTTAACAAAGTTAAGATGTCATTTATCTACTATATGAAAAGTGAGTGAGCTACATACAATTTGCTTTCTCTAAAAAAAAGGAGAGAGAGAGTAAAAAAACACCTGATAAGTTCTATGTGCTCAATAGGACCAGAGAACGAAAAGAACTCATGAAGATCACTTTCAGATACTCTGCTCGAGAGGTTAGTGACTTGTACAGTGTGCCCTGTTTCACTCATGATTCTGGAAGACATCAAACAGAAAAAAGTCAAAATTTTAGTATTTCCTGTGATATACATGTGAAATTGGATAGGCACAGTAGTTTCTGACTTTAGTCGGTAGGATATGTAACATCATTACAAGCACCAAGTAGTTTCTGCTTGTGTATCTCATTGGAAAGAACCTTTTGGTTGAACTTATTGTATCCTGTCTATAGCTATTGTCCTAAAGAATAATTTGGTGTCAAGTCCCCATCAGAACTAAAATTTTAAATGAATATATGTTACTTTCCAGTAGAAGTAGAAAATAGTTACACGAAATCAATAGCAATGAAACAAAAAGGATATATCCTACACACATCAGTTGGCCCACTGAAACGTCCATATTTCTATTAGCTATTACAATCTTTACAAAACTAGGCATACAGTGATAGCATCACCAGTACTACGACACCTATATGGCTATATTACAGTTCAGTGCAAATAATACAAAAGCACAAGGTGACCTGCTGCAGCTTTTCATCTATCCTTAACAGCATATACATTCTCTTTTTTTTTTCAAGCTGGGTATTGAATAACTAAAGTGTGAATTTCACTGTTACTGACTTATGATACATGGCAATGTGACAGAACAGAAATCAACCTCATTGTTAATTATTTGATTCCATGAATATGGAGCTGTTAGAAGATGCTATCAAGGAGAAATTATATTTGCAAGATCAATGCTGGGGCAAGATTGGTTCCCTAAGTAGCCCGAAAACAGAGAAGGCATGAACACTGAAATGTAAAGGTTTTCAAAATTCAAATGAAGAGGAACTAGCACAAACTTGGTACTTTCCTGGCAGCAATACTTGCGGCTAACAGGAAATGATTGCTCAAATACCACTGTAGGAATATTATGGATCCGGAGGATTTATAATCATCAAGTGCAGTAGCATTTCAGTAAACCGACTACACCTGCTACAATACCAGTTGTTCCCTCAGAGTGCCACTTTTTTTTTTCAGAACCCAACCCAATCACTCATCATATCTTTCTTAACAAAGCCCTTAACCATTCATCCAGAAGGCTTCATATCCTCAGCAACTAAACTAAGCATCCTAAATAACGAACCTCTAATCACATTTATCCTCTAAATGTCATTGGCAAACAGCTGATCCGATGTAGCATATTGAAGATCATGCAATGGAAACTAAATTGAACAGGTCCTAAACAAAACTAGGGCACAACGTAGTTAACACAGAAAGGGAAAGTCACAGCCATATCACAGACAACCTAGGAAACGCAACAATAGGCGCACAATACGATCAATCCAGGCTCTCCTCTGACAAACCGACACAGAAATCCGACGCGCCAGTCGCCAGAGGGAAATCACCCCTGAAGCAACCACAAATGAAGCAAAAATCACAGCAATTCAGGGCAAGGCGAGCGAGGAAGCAGCCTTACCCTTCTCTCCCCGTCGACTCCTCGCGCCCCCACCCAGCTCGGCAGTCGGCGCCGCTTGGTTTGGCGAGGCATCCCGCACCAGCGCCCGCACTCCACCCACCGCACAGGCGCAGAGTGGCCCGTCCAAATCGCGTGATGAGCCCGTCGGCGCGGCGTTTAGTGGCGTGTGGGGCAAGGGCGCGACCTCGATCTCCCAGCCACCTACCGTACTAATCAACCGGGGTTCACTTCCGCACACGCGCGCGCACACAGGATTGCCCTTCCCCTCGGCAGTTGGGAGTTGGGACGAGGGGCACGACGCCAGGGGAGAGGACGGTGGGGTGGCGTGGCGGCCTCGAGATCGGAGTAGGTAGTGGACTGGCACTGGTCACTTGGTCAGTGGAGTATTGGGCCACGGCTCCGACTCCCAAGCGCTTTGGACGTGCGGTGTCGGCGCCTCGGTGGGCAGTTGTGGTTGGATTACATGGGCTCGTCAAA